TGAAAAAGCCAGGTTAATTAAAGAGAGAAAGCTAACAATTTCAAATTTAAAAGAAGAAAGTTCAGAATGTGGGTGTCCTTTTCCTCCGGATAACAACGGTCACATTTGGCCAACTGTTATGGCAGGAATAGATTGTAATTATAAGCTTAAAACCTCAACTGTGCCTCCTTTTCTCATGGGGCAAATGAGGCATAGGCAAAGAATAGGATTCTCAATGAATCCAGCCGTTTTGAAATTGAAAGTTTCGTTAAGTGGTTTCATGCTAACATTTATATAATCTAAATTCGTTTTATTTATTAGAGGTAATTTGTACTTGAAGGCACGGTATAACGTAAACCAACCGATTAATTTACAGAAGTGAGAAGTGAAGAGTAAGAAAAAGAAAATAAAATGTGAATGATTTTGAGATAGGTGTTGGTAGTTATTGGATGAGTCTCAAACTGCCAGATAGATTTATAGAAGTTTACCGTATTTTATATTATAGATATTAGATAGTATGGCTTGAGTTCATATCGAATTATTGATTAAACAAATATCACGAGCCACTTCGCTTATGAATAGAAGCTATTAGTAAGGCTGATAATCGAACATGTCTGAGCAAGTTTGAATTGAGTTTGTCGAACTTGATTTTTAAACTATTTAAAAAAAAAAATTAAAACCAACCGAATTTGAAATGAGTTTAATTATTTACACATAAATGAGTCAAGTCTTTTGGATTCGAGTCGAATCTGTCAACCTCGTTTTCTAAACGAGCATGAACGAGCTTAAAATAAATGAATTTGAGTAGTTCGATTCAATTATCAGCTCTAAATATTAATATATAGTTTACCCTTAATTTTGTGATGATTTCATCGTATGCTATAAAAAGTTTATCACTCTTTAAACACGTTATGTGTGTGATAGGGATCATAGAGGGTGACACGAAAAATGCAACTTTAATCATTGGCTTTGCTTGGGGGTTACACATTCAAACTAAAAATCCTAATCATCGTCGTCGTCGCCACCACCACCACCACCACCACCACCGTCTATGCCAGCACTAGCTAACTTTTTCCATGGCTAGGGCGGTTGGCTTAACTGACCATCCCTGCTTTAGAACCATACTTTTGAGTGGTAGTTGCCACCCTCTGGCAGCCTTTGCTTTGATCCCTCCGTCGTTAAATTCTCCCACTTAAACTTTTGCTGGAAGGGTCAACTTTGCAGTTGGCTGAGAATCTCACATCGGACAGAAAATATAAAATAAAAATTATCCTAATATTTTTTGAATTAATTCACTACTTATAAACTTAAGTTTTTAGGTGATTGTTAGTTTCAACGTGCTTGGATCAATGCATTTCTCGGTCACCCAACAAATTGATAAGCAGTGCAGCGTACCAGTATTAATAATGACTCAAAAAAATGGTGAGGAGGTTGTCAAAAAATTATAAATTTTAGTACGATACAAACATCTCGTAATTTTCCTCGAAGTGACAGTGTGAATAACAACATAGTTGCTGATTTGGGGTGGTCTAATTCATTTTACTTGTAGGATGGCACCGAATAAAATTTTTTGACACCGTACTTCCGAATTTTACTATTTTAATGGGTGTTTTTATAATTTTTGTGAGTCATTTTACAACAAAAAATTATTATTTTTATGGGTGATTTATAACTTTTATAGGTATTTTTACAACTATTATTGTGATAACTGTTTTTTATTATTTTGGTTGTAAAATGTTAGAATCGATAACAAGTATTATAAAAGTGATAAAAAATAGTTATCACTCACTCACAGTGATAAACATACTTACAAAAATTATAAATGTCATTATGATATCAATTTTTTTCTTTTTTCGATACCGTGGATAACTCTTTATTTGCATCAAGTGATGTAGAGTATCATTATTAATAATGAATTATAAGAACGATAAGGAGGTCATGAAAAAATTATAAACTTTAATACAATGACTTTTCGTAATCGTCTTCGACATATATGGTTTAAAATTAACGAAGTAGTTGGTGATTTGGACCGGACTAAGTCATTTTACTTGCATTATGCAGACCGGCGCAGGTGTCAACTTAAATGCGTCCGCGGTTTTAGCTATATTTCTTGTTTTTTTTTTTTTTTTTAAAACCTTTTCAAGATAGGATTATTTTAGACTCATTCCTATGAGAGTAAATTCTTGACCCTTGCAATTTCGGACACTTACAATCACTCGCAAACTACAACTATCAGTTAAATCCGAGAGACAACAATAAAAATCAAACTCCTGACATTTGAGTCTATGACCCGCGTAGTTTTTAGCTGTATTTGTTGTTGTTGCTCCAGACTCGTTTTTTTTTTGGTCTATTACCTCATAAATTCAACATGGCAGCTAAGCCAAAGATCATTTTTTTTATTTATTTTTTCCATGTGAATTTTCAAACTTTTTTCTTTGTTCACATTGTGGGTATATGGAGACTTGATTGGTTCTGGTTTCCCTTATTCTTTGTTCACATTGTAAGCATCCGGAGACTTTGAATGCTTCTAATTTCCTCCACATGTGCATGGAGGTCAAACTCTCCAGGTCTAGAAGTCTCAACTTAATGTTTGCATAATCCCGTTGCTTCATCTACCGATTAAATTCGTATCGTGTTTGAATCAATAAATTATTCATAGTCAAAATAGTATTTTTAATAATATAATTCTTCTCGATCAATTTACGAAATAAGTTTTACAAATCATGTTAGTTATAATTGGAACCATGTTTAAAGTCATAGTAATTCTGAGCAACTTCGTGTAATCATGATCTATTTAATTAATTTATTTGTAGTCATTAATCATAAAAATAACAAAATAAAATAAAATAAGGATTATTAATAGAGATTTCACCGTAGCATTAGGGATAAGGCAACAGTCCTGCAAAGGTATAATGGCGAAATTGATCCACTTTGGCCGATTTTAATTTTAGTTTCTAATTATTAATTAAGAAATAATAGTAAACAATATTATAAAATATTTTTTTACAAAACACATTTTACTATTAGACAAAAAAAATTCAAAAATATGTATATCAAAAAATTACTTGTGAATATCATTACTTGGACCTTATTCCTAATAGTTGACCTTGGAATGTGATGCCTATCCTTATGAGTGGGTATGTCAATGATTCAAAATCTCAATTCGAATTCGAATCCGAAATCGGTTAATTGAATTTGAATGAATATTTTTATCGATAATTCAAATCTGAATTCGAATCCAAATTATCAGATCTAATTATGATCTAATTTAAATTATTTAAATATTTTTATATAAATATTAAAGAAATTATGTAATTATTTTTAAAAATTAGTTGAAATTTAGGTATAAACTTGTTAAAATTTAATTAGTTAAGTTATTCGGATATAATCAAATTTTAAATTGTTAACGAATTTGAATATGCATCTCGAAAATAAACTTTGTCAAATTATCGAATCGAGTTCAGATTCAAAACAATTCAGATTCAATCTAAATTCGATCTGTTAATAAGCCTACTTATGAGATTTGTTTTTCTTACCATACCGTCATTACAAGTTGTGTGGTTTAATTTTATAATTTTTAAAAGTCATTTAAAACATTGAGGGTCATTAATAAATTTTGAAGATTATTTATAATTTTTAGGAGTCTTTTATAACATTTGAGTTTACTCTTGATCGACCATAAAAATTTTAAGTTATGATCGATTCCAAATGACCTACAAAAGTTATAAATAACCTATAAAAATTATAATTTAAACTATAAAAATTATAATATGATCTTCAAATTATAAAGTTTTATAATTATAAATAAACTTAAAAATTTGTATCTCAATTTGCAAAACTTATAAAATTTAGGGGTAAAGTACAAATTTTTTATTGGATACCGCAGTGGACTCCCTTATCCTTAATATTTGTGCTTAAACGTAGCCGCGTTTTACAATGCCTTCGAAGGAGGGTAGACGCGCCGCAATATGCTTGCATTGGAAATTAAAAAATTGACGGAAACAGTTGCTGACGACGTACTTACCGGTGATGGCGCAATAAAGGCACTTGCTCATGTGTCGTCATGTGAGCGGCTTTATTAAAAGCTAAGCAACAGCCCGTCCATAGTCGGCAAAAGCTCTCAACCCTCCCTCCTTTTGCCACGTGGTTCATTCACAACTCATGCATATACATATACATATACATATATGGAAAAATAAAATTTATACTTTTGCCCACTTTAACTATATTTTTTTCCAATTTATCCCCTCAGCTGTCTATTAGCAACAATCTTATATTTGAAAACATTATACAATATCAAAAATCGAACTAATTTATAGTTTTTATGTTTTAAAAAATAAATTAATTTTTTAATTATATAATTTAAAATTAAAATGAAGAGAGAGAAACGCGAATTGATGAAATTGTTTAACATTGAAAAGTATGTTCATTGATTTGATCTAATTTGTTACCGAATGACGTTATTTCAGTGAAACTATTAGATTAACATCAAGTTTCAATGTTTAATGGATTTTATAGTCAATTCAAATACCATAATGAATTAGCTCAACAAATTAGATTAATAAATTTGGTTTAATAGTATTACTCAAAATCTAATAATAGATGGTCTATTTTTTACTGAATTAAGGAGGGGATATGTCAAGATGTACATAAGTTAGTTCAGATATCCTTAAACCATTTAGGGAAAAAAAAACATAATAATGGTGGGGGTAAAGTGAGATTGGGATGATAATTTAAACAGGTAAAGTGTCATTTGACTTATGACAAATGAAGAGAAACTCAAGGCCGTCATTGGACAGCGAAAAAAAAGATTCTCTGCATAGGGACACCCAAAAGCCCCCGCCAAAATAAAAAAGACAGCAAAATACATTAAAATCCATAACAACTATCGAAATTTTGTACACCCATACAGCATATATATATATACTCATAACCAAAGCTTAGATTTTGCCACAAACTCAGCTGAGAAAACAACCTCAAACCAATCTTTAACCTTCCAATATTCCTCCTTGATCTCTCCAATGGAGTGGACTAGGGGTCCCACCATAGGCCGGGGCTCCTCCGCCACCGTCTCTCTTGCCACCACCACCTCCGGCCAGCTCTTCGCTGTCAAGTCCACTGAGCTTTCCACCTCCAGCTTCTTGCAAAAAGAAAAACACTTTCTTTCTCAGCTTAGCTCTCCCCATATAGTTAAATACATGGGTTTTGACATTACGGTGGAAAACAAGAGGCCTATGTACAATCTCTTCATGGAGTATGTACCTGGTGGCACACTTTCTGATGAGATTAAGAAACAAGGAGGTTCGCTTGATGACTCTATGATCCGATTATATACCCATCAAATCCTAGAAGGGTTGGATTATATTCACTCGAATGGAATGGTGCATTGTGACATGAAGGGTCAGAATGTCTTGATCGGCGGAGATGGTGTTAAGATTGCTGATTTGGGTTGTGCTAGATTGGTGGAAGCTGGAGACGCCACCACATGGGAGTTTTCCGGTACACCGGTGTTTATGGCACCGGAGGTTGCGCGTAGGGAAGATCAAAAGTTTCCAGCTGACATATGGGCTCTTGGGTGCACTATCATTGAAATGGCCACTGGGTCTAACCCCTGGCCTGAGGCTAATGACCCGGTGTCGGCTCTTTACCGAATTGGGTATTCCGGTGATATACCGGAGATCCCAAGATGGTTATCGGAGGAGGCCAAAGATTTTCTCTACAAGTGTTTGAATAAAGTCTCAACAGAAAGGTGGACTGCTAAACAGCTACTGCAACACCCATTTGTGAATGGCTTGGAGTGGGAGATTAATCCTCAGCAGGGAGAAGAATTTAAAGGGAATTCTCCGATTAGTGTGTTGGATCAAGGCTTTTGGGACTCATTTGAGGTGACGGAAACTTCTCCAAATCAGACCACTCCGGTGGGTTCATCATCCAATTCTCCGGCGGAGAGGATCAGGCATTTGATTCGAGATACTTTCTCATCAGATTTGGGCTTATCCAATTGGGCAGAGGATGAAGAAGATTGGGTCACTGTTAGAAGCAATCAAACTGATGAAACCGAGAAAAAAATTCAGCAAATTTGCGACATGAACGAAGATGACAGAGAGTTGATTCAGAGAGAACCGTTCTTAATTTCAATTGTCAATGAAGATGATGATCTAGAAATCTCATTGGGTATTGAGGATTTGCTATTAGAATGCGATATGCACAACATTAGTAGTATGGTTAGTCCTTGTATTGAGACAAACCTTGGTATGTCCTGTGAAAGTGTTAACAGAAATCTTTGTATCAAGAACAGAACTAATCAAAAAATTTTACCGCCCAAATCAATTTGTTCATTCCTTTCAATTTTGTTTTTGTGCTTAGTTAATCTCAGTTTGCCTCAGAATTTTTTCCGGTGATAAACGGAAAAATGAGATCGGAATAAGATTGACTTTATTTCGATCCGGATGACTATGACTTTAAACAAAGTCAAGTCTTCTAACAAGTCTATCCATTTGCGTGGTAGACTTATGTGTGTGTGAACAAAAAGGACTTTTGGTACAGATCAGGTAAGTCAATGGTTTTTTTTTTTATTTTTTCGGTTTTCTCCATTGTTTATAGCTCAAGAGTTGGTGAAATGAATTTTGAAACCAAGTCAACGAGACCTATTGATTAGGTCTTAGCCCACTTGAGATTGGCCTTGGTGGTGCCGATTGGAATCATGGGTTCGTAGATTTGAGTTGCCCATTACTTTTCTTGAAGAGGCAAGAACAAAGAAGGTCCACTTCATATTCTGCATATATTCGTCAGCATTTAGGGAGTATGTGGTGGGGTTCTTACAAAGCAGCACCGGCTTGCTCTAAATCTAGTCCAATAAAACCATACTAGAAGATTTCAGGGAGCATTTGGTACTCCAAGACGTGCATACTATTAGGGCTCATGATCGAATAAGTTCAAACGAATTTGAGCTGAGTTTATCAAGTTTTTTTTGTAAATAAACTTAAAAAATTATTTAATTCGGCTAGCCTAACTTGAACAAGCCAAATTCGAATATAGCCCAAATATTTGCATATAAACGAGTCGAACCTGTTGAACGAGTCAAATCCGAGTCTAGCCCAAATATTTACATGTAATCGAGTCAAATCTGTCAAACTCGTTTTCTAAACGAATCTAAAAAATTGTTCAAGTTCGACTCGTTTTCTAAATTATTTGAGTTTGAACAAGCTCAAAATGAATCGAACCCAAATTGAGCTACTTGAGCTCAGTTCAATTATTGATCCTACATATTGTTACCATCGTGGTGATAAAATGAACCTGTATTTTGTTTTTAGAAGACAAGTTTTGTTGATAATTGTGCGTGCAGGATCCTGCACAATATAAAAAATATCGGGAACAGATCTCTCCCCTGGTGAAACTTTGAGTGAGCTGGTTGGGTGGCCAAACACGCTGCTTGAAACAGCCTACAAGGTACGGCGGCAACCTGGAACGGCAAAGGAAGATCCTGGGAAAGGAAGAACGATCCTGTACGTGTGAAAGGTTTTCCTGGTATAAAGAGGAACAAGTTAGAAGGGTGCCGGAGTGTGTTCCGGCGTATCCCCTCCGACGGTCTAGTCAGTCTTTGAATGAGAGAGAGGAAGAAGAAAACACTGAGAAAATCTGTATTGCAGTAGAGAGTTTGTGATTGCATACCCGCTTTGCCTTTTGGGAGGAGTATTTATACCTTAAAAGCTCATGATTGCTGTCAGTGTGGTCAGTAGGTGATCATCAGGCACAGGTAGCGTGTGTATTGATTTGATGAGGAATGTCTTCTCTAATTGACTGCTCGGGGTCCCGAGCAATCAATGCTGAGTCGTCGGGACGCCGACGGTACAATATGCTCCTCTCGGGAAGGATGCAATAAATGCTCTGTAATAGGAGCATTTATTGCCTTTCATATCCGAACCTTACCGCATTGAATGCGGTCTCGTCACCAGAAGGGTGCAATTAATTGTTTGCTTTCCCAAAGCGCGTGTCAGTAACGGCGTGTCGTTCGTCTGTCTTTGATGTGACATCATTTGCCACACGTCCATCCCTTACTGGCTGTGATTACTGTATTCCGGCATGTTCTGACATTACTTGTGTAAGACGAGGTCATGATGAATAGTCTAGACCGGCATAGGCTGATGACCCGTACGTCCGTAGCTTTATCCGGGAGTAGAGGAAGCGTCCAGGACGGAGTGACTCTCGGCACCGAGGAAAGGCTCACCTCGGGGACCGAGGGTGGTATGTTTCCGAGGTACACAGGTGACCGAGGACACGTGTTGTTGTATAATACACCGAATGCATGATCCTACATGAGAGGTACCTCGGGGGAGAGGACACTCTTTGCCGATGGTGCTTAAATGCGAGCAACACTGTTCCAGAAACTCCGAAAACACGTGTCTTCATCATAGGGCTTTTCAGAAGAGTCTCATCAATAATATTCAATTGTAATATCATAGATTCTTCACAAACATTATATAAAAATTTCGTGTATTAGACTACTATTTTCATACGCAAAGTGAGGCGACAGAATTCAAACTGGAATGTACGAGGATCACATGTGACACTTTATCATTGAAAGAGAGCCGCGATTCTAGTTTAATCATAATGCACAACTTGCAATTCATTCACCACATTATGAGAACCACAACTTTAGGTTAGAGAGAGAGAGAGAGAGAGAGAGAGGAACTTGAATTTGAACTGTCTTCTCACTTTAGCACCATATTGCGGAATCCAAGGCATATTTCACTCCAAGTTAAAAGCATCTCTTCTGGTTAATAGGTTCCAATGACTTCATCGCTGACTTCAGCTTAATGTATGTAACCTCTTCCGTTCATAGTGCGCATGTTACAGATTATTCTCTCTTCCGTCTTTTGGTCCGTCATGTGTTGTTGGATTATGTTGAAAGCCAAAGGTCAAATAATCATATTTTTTAAATCTGGCCCGAACACTAATTCGGCAAATGGATCGGGTTAATGGGTTACTGGTTCAATCGTGGGTCAATCGATCGAATCGGTCATATAATTAATAAATAATAATAAATATGCTAAAAATTTATAATAGTTACAAAAATAACATATTTTATGTTATAGTAAATAAAATAAAAAGACAAAATATCCTCAAATCATTAATTTGCTTACATAATTGATATAATTTGACAGAGAAAATAATGGGTTAATCTCATTTTACACTCCGAAAGATTGTTCGAATCTCAATTTGTACCCTCAAAGATCAAAAATCTCAATTTACACCCTCAAAGATAAAAATTTGTATCAATGTGCATCCCCAAAGATCAAAAATCTCAATTTGCACCCTCAAAGATAGAAATTTGTATCAATGTGCATCCCTAAAGATAAAAAATCTCAATTTGCACCTTCAAATATAGAAATTTGTATCAATGTGCACCTAAAATTAAATTAATAAATTATACCTTGATCCCCTCATGTTTGTCACTTAATCATTTGAACTCCTTCACATTTAGAATATTCCCCTTACATCTCATGACGTTTATGCATGTATAACACATAACCACTTTTCGTTGATATATATTAATATAATCGTTAAAAAATATGATTTTATCTTAATATAAAATTATAATTTTATATTACCTTTTATTTTGT